CATTCTGCCTGTTAAATCTTAATGTTTTCAGTGTTGACTTGGGCAGGAGTTGACATAATTCACATTTGGGGCTTTACACTGAAGCAGTTGAATTCCATTTGGAGTACAGTACTAGCCCCATAAACCCATCTCTAAAAATTCCACTCCGAAAAGAGGATTAGTGTACATGTGTTGCATTTGCTCCCTTTTTTCCATAACCTTTTAATACCTCAGGGATTGAGTTTCACTAGACACAGTGGGAGAATCCTGGTACATCTGGTTTCCCTGTGGTCTTACATGATGACTGAACAGCCTCACAGCTTTTGCAGTCAGGTTCCCTATAGGCGCACACTGTGATTAGATTTGTTCACCACAAATATATCCTTGTTTGCAATGAAGATACAAATGAATTGAGCTTCTGTTTATGCATCCCATTTACAACTAGGATTTCATAGAATCATACAGTAAATTAGGTTGGAAAGGACCTCTGGAGGTCACCTTGTACATTTCTTGGCTCAGACTCTTCCCAAAGATGATTTCTGTTTTCCCTTTTTTTGGATGGATAATTCAGAATATCCTTTCATCTGACAGTGTCCTTTGCTTTTCTACTTCCCCTAGATGTATTCACCCCAGCCCACATGGATGCTGTATTTTAAAAGATTATATACTGGGTTGTGTTAATAATAATTAATATTATTAATTAATATTAATTAATATAGTAGTTTAATATTATATACTAATATTATTATTTAATTATAAAAAATAAGTGTACCAAAAAGACTAAATTTTGAAATGGGAAATCTGGCATGGAAGGTTAAAGATGTAACAGCCACACAGCTATTCCCGAGCGTTTAAACAAATAGCTCATCACCTATTTTTTTCACAGGAAGAGATGAATCTATGGAGTGGGAGGGTAGCAGTGGCCTGGGCATGCATTTGGCACCCAGGGAGACACAGCTGCCTGTCGCTTCCTAGGCAGGATTTGAGGTTAGCCAGCATCCTGTGCATCAGGACAGCCTGCTGCCATAGCTCTGCCATGGGGAGTGTTTGTGGCAAAGTTATATGGGATTCAGAAGGCAGTATGGTTACCCCTTTAGAAGAGCTTGATTTCAATTTAAGACAATACAATTTTTTGAGCTGACTTCACTGAGATTCACATATGCACTTGTTCTCTGAAAAACATGCGTTGACTATTTTTAATATAAAATAGATTTTTGTGATTTATGGGTTTTTTTTCCTGCAAATACAGTAGGATGAAAAACATGGCTGTGTGATATTTAGTGCTGAATAGTGGTTTCTTATTGGCAACTGCTCCATGCATACAATCAGCATCCTTAATTTTATTTTTTTTAATTATTACTTTTTATGGAAAATTACTTTTTTCTTTTTTCAGTAGATATAGACCACTTTATATATTATATACTATCTACAAATATCAGATAGACTTTTGGAATTTGATCACAAATGGCGTTTCTAAAAAGATCAAAGTTTTAAAGAGCTGAATTGTTCCTTACTTTTCACACAGATGCTGAAATAAATATAAGCTGTTGAGGAAAAATGAGTCAATATGGGTTCTGCTGATATTTCAGGTCATTTTAATAGATAAAGAATAAAATTTAAAACTGCTACCATGGGACTTATGAACAATCATGTTAGGTTGAAGACTGAAAAATAGGTACAGATATTGAGCATGTAATTTCTATATCAGTTCAGAAATACATTGGCAGAAAATGCCCTTGAAAAATTCTAGAATTAAAGACATTCTTATTTCACAGGTAACTCATGAAATGGAAAGTGAACAGATTTTGATAAAGTGACCATTTTCTTCACTTTAATTGTGCTGAGATTAAAATTGGTCATGTTTTAAGATGGTCGCTTTTCTGTGAGAGGGTAGGGAATGACATGGAGTTATATTATTAATTATAAGCACTATCACAGTGTGTGCAATCAGCTGCACAAACAGAAGAATGGAAAAACAGAAGAAAAAGACAGACCCTTCTCTTCTAAAGTTTTACACAACTGTGTGGCTTTGCAGTGTTTAGCTCTGTTCAGGAAGAGAAGGTAATTTTCATGCTTTTATACTTGCCAAGTGGAGAGTAGCAGTATGAAGATGTATGTAAAAATTTTAGTGCCTTGAATGAATGGCAGCTGAGAAAGCTGCCAGTACTTTTGGTTCCAGTTGAAATTTCCAAGACAATGACTAGTGAGGAGGACACAGCCAATACAGGAAGACTGAAGCAGAACACAAATTTTAACCCAACCCAGCAGCAACATCTAGTTTTCTGCATCAGTGTGCTTGCAGACACAATTCCCTCTTCCCTGCCTCTAATGTTTGCAGCTCCTAGGTCTGATGGAGGGCACTCTGCTTTCAGGCCTTCACTTATGCTGTGTGTGCACCTTTAACAAATTTGCTGATGACACCAAGCTGTGTCGTGCAGATAACCCACCAGAGGAAAGGGATGACTTCCAGAAGGACTGTGACAGGCTCAAGTGGTGGTCCCATGTGAATCTCATGAAGTTCAACAAGGCCAAGTGCAAGGTCCTATACCTGGGTTAGGGCAATCCCAGACACTCCTACAGGCTGAGTGGAGAGGTGATTGAGAGCAGTTCTGCAGAGAAAGACTTGAGGGTAATGGTTGCTAAAATACTTAACATGAGCCAGCAGTGTGCACTTGCAGCCCATAAAACCAACTGTGTCCTGGGCTGTATCAAAAGGAGTGTGGCCAGAAGGTTGAAGGAGGTGATTCTCCTGTTCTACTCTGCTCTTGTGAGACCCCAGCTGGACTACTGGGTACAGTCCTGGTGCTCCCAACAAAAGAAGGACATGGAACTCTTGGACCAAGTCCAGAGGAGGGCCATGAAGCTGATGACTGGAGCACTTCCCCTAAAAGACAGGCTGTTGAGGCTGTTCAGCCTGGAGAAGAGAGGGTTGCATAGATACCTCATAGCAACCTTCTGGTATCTAATGGGGCCTACAGGGAGGCCAGAGATGGACATTTCATCAGAAACTGTAGTGACAGGACAGTGAGTAATGGGTACAAACTGAAAGAGAGGAAATTTAGGTTAGATATTAGGAAGAACTCTGATGGTGGTGAGGCACAGGAACAGGTTGCCCGGGTAGGGTGTGGGTGTTCCAACCCTGGCAGTGTTCAAGGGCAGGTTAGATAAGGCCTTGAACAACCTGGTTTGGTGGGAGGTGTCCCAGCCCACAGCACAGGGGGTTGGGACTAGATGGTCTTTAAGAGGCATTCCACCCCTTAACAGTCTATGATACTATGATTATATGGGCCTCTGCTTAGCACACTAAAGGGACATTTTGTTTTATTTTTCTCATGAAAATCTCTGTTTTGATCTCATCAGATGGATGATCCAGAAACAAAAGGCTCTGCTGACTCTCTAGTATGCCTGTACCTTAATGTGACAGAGCTTCCCACACATTTTCAAATTCCATTACAGAGACACTGAGCTGAGGAGATAGTACAAGGTCTGGAAATGTTTTGAATGCCTATATATTTTTATTGTTCTTTTAATTTTAATTAGTTCAAAGAAAGATGTATTTTTATGTTATTTACCATATCATAACTGGTATGTAAATTCCAGATAGCTTGCTGGAAAACTTGTTTTCCAAATGTAATATTTAGTGTTACTGTATATTCACGTGAAATGAAAATCTTTGTAATTTAGCAACTGATTACATTCTTCAAGAATTGAATACTGAGCAGTGTAGTCGGTGTCTAATGTATTAAAGACTTGTCACTTGAAAATTCTGAAGATTGATTTCAGCAGAAATTAAGTAGCTTGGGTTCTGTGCATCAATAGTCACATCAAATATTGCCCACTATGTTTTGCTGCATTTGGTTCTGAATTAGTAGTCTCACTTTTTTCATCTGGTGAACATGCTTCCTGATGACTTCAGATCATGTACTATTTGTTCAAGTGTAAACTGGGAAGAAAACCAGACTCAAGCTCTCCTTCCCACCACTCCTAACAATCTCATCAGGACACTAGTTAAGATCTGCCAAACCTCTCATCAGATGTAGAAATGAATGGAAAGGTTGCTTCTGTAGCATAATAATTAGTGGATTTACCATGTTAACAGACCTATTACAGTTAATTTAGCCATGTTTATCTTGTTATAAACAGTGAACTCCCCTTCTCACAAAGTTTATGTAAAGAGCATTGTGCAAAGAGGAATCAGGGCTTCAGACTATGTTTAACTGTGTCTAGTCAGTACACAAGAGTCTGGGCTAGTACAGGGACAGCTCCCATGGAAAGGCACAGTGACACAACACACTCCAGGAAACTCCATGAGTATCCTGGAGATACCAACTGCTTCCTGTGACTCCATCATAAGCCAGTGATTCTCCTTCCACTTTGCCCCAAGGATACAACTGGGATGTGAGCATTAATACCTGTAAACCTGCAAAGGTCCTCAAAACAAGATGTCATAGAATTGCCAGGTCTCACAATAGTATTAAAGCAGCATCACCAGCAGCAGCAGGATTTATCTAAGTAGGAGAAAGAGGTTTACCTGCATTCATACACCCAGAGAAGCAAGTGCATTTGGAACTGTGTGAAGCCTCTGTATTCCAGCCCCAGCTACAGCTGTACACAGCAGAATGGTAAGGCCTAGCTGCTGTGCAGCACTTGAAAGTATGTCAGGAGAAGTGAAGGCCTTCTGCACATTCACAAAGAGACTGTGCATAGACTGTTAAATGTTTTATGATGGCTGTTATTTAGCTACACTATTGTTAAAGCATATGGAAATCACAGCAGTCAAAAGCTACTCTTTCTTGTCCTGCAGGATTTTTTATCAGAGGGTAGGTTGTGTTTGCTAAGAGGTGGCTGTTTCTACTTTCTGCTCTGAAAACAGCTACTAAAAGTATTACCTTAGACTACAAAGTGAATAGATTTGTGCAGTAGCTGAAATCCTGAAAGGCCTAGAACCCTCTTTTCACAAAATGCTGGGATAACTTTTAAAGTTAAAAAAAAAGAGAGTATAATTCAAATAACTGAAGCAATAGAACATAATATTTCATTAAATTCCCCCCCAAAACAAACAAACAAAGCAACAAACAACCCACAACAAAAAAAGCAATAGAAAATGGTCTTGTGTCTCCAGCTAGAAAACTGATATAAATAGCTTTTCTGGTATAAGGGCAACTACATAAGAGATGTTGAAAATTCAGTCAAAAGGAAAAATAAATACTTCAAGTTTTCCTTGTACCAGGCAAACAGGAATCTTTGCAACTACAAGCTGACTGTGCCAAAGTAAGGGGACCAGCTCCCTGAAGTGCTTTAAAGTAACAGTTACTGAAATGGGATAAACAGGTATTAGGACTAAGAGAAGTACAATCACTGCACAAATGTTAACTGAAATCATACCATATGATACATTAGTTCATAAAGCTATTTAACATAAGCAAAAGTAGTTAAGAAAATAATAGCCAACAGAAGGAATTTCAACAGTTTCAGTCATTTCTGTCATCTCAATTTTCCTTTTCAGAAGAATTACTTTATCAAGCTGATGACAAATCATACGTCAAAGTTTATTAAGAGGAAAAACAGGGGTATCTGATTTTACACTCAAGTAATTGACAAATACAAGTCTTTAACAATAAAGCTTCATCAAAACCTAGGAAACAAAGCCATTATGCTGTGCAAACACCTTTCAATGAAGTACATACAGCTTTGGGCAAGTAACACAATTTCTCATATCCCTACTGCCTGAAGATAATTAACTTTGTTAAACTTTTGTTCTCCTGCAGTGAAACTGTTGCCCAATTCTGTGAAACTATTGCCAGGGATCTTTTTCAGTGTAGGTAAAGGAGTCTGTGAAAATCTGCTTGTGTTAAAATGTATTCTATTGAAAGAGCAATACTTAATATTTTACTGAAAAAATGGCAAAAGTTTTTAACTTTGGGAAGTATAAAGTGAATTGCGTGGCACTTTTATGAGGGGGTTTATTGGGTATTTTTGTTTTGTTTGTTTTTTGCTTTTTTTTTTGTTTAGGTAGGCTGGAACGTCAAAGATCACACTTTGATCTGTGCTTGCACCCACCCAGTTGAATCATCATGTGCAGGATCATATGCTGCTAGGCAGCTTTCAAAGGTGATACTTCTGTCTGAAGCTCCTCTTAGGGCTGTAAATTTCATTTGTACATAGTAATTGTGCATTGGGTCCCTTTCTAGCAAAAATGGCACGCAGAAATCAGGATTTGGAGAACATGATCTTCCCACCCAATTATTTATGTAAGACCTGCCCATAGTCATTGCTTTGTGCTCTGCTGAACAGAGAGACAGAGGAAGTGGAAGAATAGTATCAAAATACATAACTCCAAAAGATAAAAGCCAAGATTTCTAGCAAAGAGTGGCAGTGTCCACAGCACAAGATCAGAAGGAAATTCTGTGAACTGTGGAGAGCTCATCTTCATATGCTCCTTATTCTGCTGCTGTTACAGATTGTGCTCCTTTGTTCAACCTAGAACACTCTAACAAGTCAGAGAGGCTTGTGGCAGACACTCTTGGCTGAGCCATTTCACCTTTGGTACTTAAAGAAACAGGTCCTAGACACACTACTGTCTTTCAGCCATAGACCACACAATCTGTCTGAGCATGAATAGAATAAGACTATTTACATCTCCCATTTTGCACTAGGATTTTTTACTTTGGTTTTGGTCCAAACCTTCTATGGAAGTCATATGCATCAGTTAGAGAAGCCTATTAGTTATTAACATAGGTTTGTTACGAGGAATACACTCAAGGACAAAAGACTAATTGACTAAGCCCAGGATTTTAACAAGTTCTTCCAACGTTGTAAAAGAAAGGTGTGCACAATGATATTATTATAGTTCTAATAACCTCCTAATGCAGAAATACACAGAATTTCTCACACAAAATAGTTAAGACTTAGGTTTTGGAGAAAAAAGTACAAACATCAAATAAACCTGGTGTGCCCAGAAAAAAGGATAAGTACAAAAAATAAACAAGAGACAGAGTCCATACCCCTAATCTGATTTACATAGCCTTACATGTACTTTACTTGAACTAGATGTTAAATACAAATGGTGATCTCATTCTTAGGTGTATCTACTTGGTAGTAAGAACATGGGCTACAGAGTGGCATATTCTAAAATAAAAATACTCTAAAAATATTCTAAAAGAAAAAAAACCTTTCATGTTTCCTTAGTTCTCTTAAGTCTCATCCATGTGACAGCAGCAGTGAGCTGTTAGGTGTAAACTGTCATTACAGAGAACGTGAGCATGAGCACACAACTTAGAGCAGTCTGCTCACTAGCTATCTAGTTAAGACTAATTTCAAAAGTCTTGTCATCTTGACTGGAAGATGAATAGCTGCTTCCTCCTGATTAAACATTGAAACCAAAATTATGGAACTTGTTGATGGCCTCCCTCACATGCTAAATTTATAAACTTTCACTATGAGCCACTCTATAGTTTCACTTCTCCATTCAAAAAGTTTTTACCCAGCAATATTTACCTAAGGCAATATTTAATCATGAACAATATAAAATTATCTTTTTTGTAATGAGGACAGATCATTCAAATAATTTTTACTGGGCAGAGTCTTTGTTGTACTGAACAGTAAGAGGGGTTTGCAGACATATCTACTACATATTTTTTGAAAGTTATCCAGAACCAAAGCTCAGTCTTACACCCAACCCCAAGCCATGTTTGGAAATTCACTTCATCTGAGCATTTTCTTGAGGTCACTGCTGCCCATTCCTTCTCCTTGCATACAAGCCAAGGCAAGCGCAGAATCCGACGACACTGACAGCGAGGCCTAGGAGGAAGGCAATGGTATCTCCTGCGTCGAGGGCTTCAGCTACTGGCAGCATCAGCAGCAGTGACACGAGGACCAGGAAAAGTTTTGAGGTGTTCTTGGTTGAAGGCATGCTGAAGACCAGCTGACCCCAGGGGGAAGTTAAATGAAGAAAGTGGTGGACAGCAGGTACTTCGCAGGTATCTACAAGGAAAACAGAAGGAACATTACAGGATCTTCCTTCCTTTCCCCCTGGATTTGTCTTACAAAAGCCAGCTCATTGATGCATTACAGGTCTTTGTGTGGGGCTTATGAAATTTAGGTTTTATCTTTTCAATTACAAAAGCAAATGACTTATTATTGTGAGACAACCACAGTGGATTTGCTATCTTGTTGTGTAACTCTGTGGAAACTTATCTTATGAAGGCTTACCGTGAGGTGAAGTCAGAACAGGCTCTTCTGTCTGCAGCTACCAGAGCCTGCTTACCTGGTGCTTTGCTACGCGGGCCTGTTTCACCAGCTGTTTAGGGCCTGATGGCTGCTGCACATCACCCACCCACACTTCTAACACCGGGAATCCTCGGGATCCGTGAGCATGAACAGACTACGGTACCTTGGGCAGGGAGTGAATTTAACCTCCCGGGCAGTGCCACCGTGCACACCCTCACTGCGGGACAAATGTCTGTCGTGGTTCCTGCAACTCGGAAAGGTGCACGCCGGCACCAGCCCGGACCGCCCTCTCCGCAATAGTTCTTGCCGCGGGGATGGCTCGTTCCCGGGGTGCACACTACGAAAACCCGCGCCGGGACACCCGAATAAGCGGCTGCTCCGCTCGCACCCCGGCGGGGCCGCTGCCGAACCCCGCCAGCCCCGGGGCGCCCGCGCCGCCCCGTCCCGCCGCCGCGGGGCTGTGGGCCGGCTGCTCCTTTGGGCAGCCCCCGGCAGGCCCTGCCCGCACGGTGCCCCTCAGTCACCTCCTGCCGCCGGCTCCGGGCTGGGGCCGTCCCCGCTCCGCGCCGCCCGCGGGGCGCTCAGCAGCCGAAGGCGCCGGCCCGCACCGCCCCGCCGAGCTGCCACTGCCCGGCCGCGGCCATGACAGGAAGGGGCGGTGGCGCGGCCGGGGGCGGGCGTGACCCGGCCGGGCCTCCTCCGCTCCGCTGGGCTCCGCTCCCGCTGCGGTGCCCGCCCGCTTCGCCCCGCCGCGCCCACCGGGACTCCCGGGGGCGGCTCGGGGGAACAGGCGTCGCCAGCTGCCCGGGCGGCCCCAGGCCCCACCGGTGGCCCCGCGAGCGGTGCTCGCCAGGCCGGCCTGGGCCCGGAGGGACGCGGCGGGGCCGGGCGCCTCCCGGGAGCCCTGGCCGCCGGTGCCGGCTGCTCCCCAGGGCCGATCCCAGCCGGAGGCGCGGAGTGCCCGCGGTCCCATGAACCTCGGCTCGTGAGTGTCAGCAGAGAGAAGCGGGACCACGAGCCCTCACTGCGGCTCCATGGAAGTCGAAGTGTAGAAACACGCCGATTTGGGCTGGTCGTCTGATCTTTTCTTCTACAAATAAACGAGTAGAAGAAGTCACCATGAGTTTGCATCATTTCAGATTCAGGCCCTTGTGATAACAGCACTAATATGTGCCATCATAACCAATTCCTACTGTGAGGAAAGCAGTTAAAGCAGTTTTATATGGTAAAGAGCAGCCGCGGCCTTGCTAAGCAAAAATCGAAGGGAAGTGTTAACGGGTAATTAAGCGAGAGCACTCCCCAAGATCTTAGCTCGTCCCAGCTTTTATCTTATTTATGCTTTGGGTAAGGCTGCTGGTAGAAATTGCATATTAGGCTGTTTTGTTGCACTAGGTAATTCCGAAGCAGAGCCCAGACTTTATTTTTCAGTGGCAAAGATATGTGCCCAAGTTTAGATAAAGACCAGTGAGCAAATATTGTAAGTTCATAGTATGTCTCTGGAGTGCTCAGAGAAATAACCTAAAGAAAGTATCCTAATTTAATGTCAAAATCAGTCTAGAATTTGTAATTCATTATGACAAGCATTAACTCATGACTGAGAACCCATGTCCTCACACTGTTCCCCACGACTTCTGTAAAAAAGCAACTTTTATAAATATTTCTCTTTACCAAAGCAATTTCTGATGAGCTTCTTTAAAGAGGAGATCAAGATCATTCAAGATTCAACATCTATACGGCTTTGCCTCTGCCTTATAAAATTTCACTGTAATTGCTTTTGAGCAGCCATTCTTCATAGCTATAGGAACTTCACACATCTGAGGTTAATCCTTTTATTAATGTTCTTCTTTTCCCCATCAGTCAGGATCCATCAGCTATCAGTTGTTATAAGACGATAAGTTTCCAGGGATAGAAACATCTTTTTGTTCCTTTATTCAAAGTACCATGAAAGCATCATCTTTATAAGCAGGAGTGCCTAGACTTTGATAATGCAAATAATAATGAATATCAGTGTAACTCATAAACATCCCTTTTATTAATGAAATGTCTATTTTACAGTTTTTCAGATCTTAAATATTTGATTCTTCATGTTCAGTTCTGAAGGCATTTTCTCAATAAGCTGATGCCAGATAAACTCAAAGGAGAAAAATCTTGAAATTTCTGAGCATGTCCTGGCATGGAAAAGAGTAATGCTGTGATGCCTTAATCAGTCGCAGATAAATCATAACCCCTAAAAAACCTGAAGAATGCAATTTGAAGTGCAGCTATGTCATCTCAATCACTGCTGTCACCTCAGAAGAATGGGCCTTGGAGTCCTGCCCCTCTTAGTTCCTTGCTTAGTCTATTTACTGCATCCTGCACTGTTGACAAGTAAATGTTACGTTGATCTGCAGTGTCAAAAAATGTTGAATTCATCCCTCTAAATTTTGGTGCTCTATTTGTTGTTGCCACCACCTACCAACTAAAATTTTCAGTACTTGCCATTTAGTCCCACAAAACAGACACAAAGGGATTGAACAATGATTTTCAAATCTATCTTTTATAACTAGAAATGTCAGTACCAAAAAGCTGTGGCATTTTTGGACCTAAGGATTTTGACAGTGAGGAGTGTAAAATCCAAGAGAAACACTGGGTTTAACACACTCCTCTTAATATCTCAAGAACTGTACACATTCGCAGGCAGTTGTAATGACACAAAGTACAGTATGTATGTGGAAAAAATTGATTGTAAGATATATGATTTATTAGTAACATCATGGAAGTGCCATTGAGAGCTAGAGAACAGTGCCATTTGGGGATATTTCTTTGGCTTATTAGCTCTTTCAATTCCACTGCATTTTGTAGCTTTGGCTTTCAGAAACAGTGCTTCTTTGGCAAAAAGCCAACAAAATCCAAACAGTCAAGGAGGCTCTATTGGTTTTGTGCTGTCAGAATAGCAGAGAAACGTGTATTCAGCTTCAAGCTCTGCCATCAACTTCCTGCATCACCTCAGGCAAATCTTCCTTTTGACCTATCACAGCTTTGATTGCTTAGCTCAAGCTATTATGTAACTAATATTCAGAGGAAAGTCAGAGGATTCCCAGAGCTGACAAGCTAAAGCTTTGTAAATTTTGAGCACAAGGCTAAGGAGGTAGGTATATGTGAGACTGGAAATTGAAAATAAAGTGTACTTTCTGGAGCGGAAAAGGTTATAATCAGCTACACCCTGAAGGGGGTACTTGTGGGGGTTTTGGATTATTTTTTTCTTCCTCCTTCTTGGTTAATCTAGTTTTTTGAGAGCTGTTTGTTTATTGCATGACCACAGTGATCTGATGTCATACTTTCACCCCAGCCAGCAATGTAGCCCCATGTGGCTACTTGCTCCCTGCCCCACCAGCAGGCTTGGCAGAGAGAATCAGAAGGGTAAGAGTTAGAAAACTCAAGGGTTGAGATAAAGATAATTTAATAGGAAAAGCAAAAGCTGCACTCACAGACAAAGCAAAACAAGGAGTTAATTCACTGCTTCCCATGGCAGGCAGGTGTTCAGCCATCCATAGGAGAGCAGGACCCCTTCACACATAACAGTTACTTTGTGCATTGGGTTTGCCTGGCTAAGCTTTGGTAGCAGAGAGGCTACAGGGGTGGCTTCCATGAGAAGCTGCTAGAACCTTTTTCCATGTTTTCATGGCAGAGCCAATCCCTGGCAGCTCCCAAGATGTGCCACTGGTCAAGGCTGGGCCTATCAGAAATGGTGGTAATGCCTCTGTGATAACAGATTTAAGAAGAAGAGCTATTGCACGGTTGTAATTGTGGCCAGAGAAGAGCGGGGTGAGAATATGTGAGAGGAACAACTCTGCAGACACCGAGGTCAGTGCAGGAGGGGGAGGAGGCGTTCCAGGCACCAGAGGTGAGGTTCCTCTGTTGGGCTGGTTCTAGTTGGGCACCAGTCTAACCTATTCATTAGCTGGGCTGGTGTCGGTGCACCATGATCAAGTGTGCCGCTTCTCCTGTCCCAACCATGCATCCTGGTGGAGTAGAGCCCAAGTCATGTATCTGGAGGGATGGAGGAAGCCTATGAAATGGGAAAATAATATCTGTCTATGAAAGGATTGGGGATTGTAGTGAATGAAAAGGTGTGTTTGGTATAGAGGTTGTAGTTGAAGTTGTATGTGTAGGCAAGAAAGGATTCCTGTAATGAGAAATACAGTGGAACAGTTGGAAGATAGATAAATTATTTGGCCTCTGAGCATGATGCAAATGGTATGGAATAAGGGGTGGAGATTTTTTGTGTCTGGCTGAGCTGGAGTTCCTTTCCCTGAGCAGCCCTAACAGTGCTGTGCCGTGCTGTGCTGTGCATTGGTAAGTGGAAAGGTGTTCAGTACACACAAGTGTTTTGGCTACAGATGAGCAGAACTGTTTCTCTAACATTTCCTCCCTTTCCCTCTCATCAAGATGCTGGGAGTGGACAAGATTCTGGGAGGGAACACAACCAGGCCAACTGACCCAAATTAACCAAAGGCATATTCCATACCATGTGATGTCAGCTCAGATATAAAAGCTAAGGGAGAGAGGAGGAATGAGGAGCATTCATTAATTTACAATGTGTACCTTCCAGAGCAGCCTTTATGCATGCTGAAGCACTGCTTCCTGGGAAGTAGCTGAACATTCCTTCTGATGGGAAGTAGAGATTAATTTTTCCCCCTTTGCTTATGCAAGCACAAACTTTTGATTTTCTTTTTTTTTCTTTATTTTTTTTTTCTTGAGTAAACTGTCTTATCTCAACTTGTGAGTTTTTTTCCGTCTTATTTTTTCTCCCTTGACCCTGGGAAGTAAGTGATAGAGTGGCTTGGGGGTGTGGGTGGGGGGTGTGGTATGTGAGTGTATGTGTGTTTTTGTATGTGTGTGTGCATCTGGCACCCAGCCAAGCACAATCCATTACACTTGGGAAGACAAATGGCATCCTTCTGTCACCTCCGTTCTCCTTCTTTCCCCCACTTTACATACTGAGCAAGATGTCATATGGTCTGGAATATTCCCTTAGTTGGGATCACCTGCTCTGGCTGTGTCACCTCCCAACCTCCCTTGGATCCTGAGCCCCCTTGCCAGTGTGGCACTATAAAAAGCAGAGGAGGCCTTGGCTCTGTGTAAGCCCTGCTCAGAAACAACAAAAACACCCCTACCTTATCAGCACTGTGTGCAGCACAAGTACAAAACACAGCCACATACCAGCCACTGTGAAGAAAATCAAGTCTACCCTGGCTGAAATGAGCATGTCTGAGAAGCTTTCTGAATAATTTTTGGACATCAGCTGCACTGCTGTAATGAGAAAGGCTAACTCTGATTATGGATAACATGCTGACTATGGGGCAGAGATTATCACTTCTGCAAGCACATGTTCACCCTTGAGCTACTTTTCTCTGACGATACTTAATCTGACATTTTAGCTGACTATCACTATGTCTTCATCTTTTCAGTCATAGATCTACATCCAGTTTTTCTCCTACAACAAACATTTCCTCATTTGGACTTCACTATGTCTTTCTCCTTCTTTGAACAAACAGGCCCTACTGCAACTACCTCATTTGCTTCTGCAGAAAAAAGCCTGAAGTTAAAATACAGAATTAATTACATCTATAATTAGCCTTTTCCATATTTGCCTCTTGGTCTGCTGTCACACAAATGTTGATTTCATTATTTCTCTTACTTCCTCTCTTATTATCCCTTTCCTTCCTATCCTGTGTGTTTACTTCATCTTGCCTTTTTTCCTTTCTATTTCTCAAAGTCCTTAAGTTTCCTCTAAAATAAAGGTAGGTAGTCACAAATCACCCCGACATAAAAATACCCATTGGATTCCCTTCCTGAACCTATCACTTCATCTGTTTTATTCCTCTCATCTCTAATCCCTCCAAACATGCTGTTCAAAACTGCTCTAATCCTACATCTCCTTCAGTATGGCTCAATCCTTCTTCCATCAGCTGGATATCACATTGATATCTCCACTTAACAACTTAGACATAAAGGTCTGTGTTTCATCACTGGCTCTGACTGATGGACTGCTTTAGAAACTCTCATTCCTGTTCCTAAATCCAGCAAATGCTTAAAAAAACCCCAGTG